TCTGGCCAGGTGTTCTTCTGGAAGGTGCTCCCATCTCCACAGAGGAACTCTAGAGCTCTGTCAGAGTGACATTGAGTTGTTGGTCACCTCCCTGACCAAGGCCCTTCTCCCCCGATTGCTCAGTTTGGCTGGGCGGCCAGCTCTAGGAAGAGTCTTGGTGGTTCCAAAGCTCTTCCATTTAAGAATGGAGGCGACTGTGTTCTTGGGGACCTCCAATGCTGCACAAATTATTTGGTACCCTTCCACAGGTCTGTGCCTCGATACAATCCTACGGACAATTCCTTCGACCTCATGGCTTGGTTTTTGCTCTGACATGCATGGTCAGCTATGGGACCTTATATAGACGACAGGTGTATGCCTTTACAAATAATGTCCAATCAATTGAATTTATCACAGGTGGACATCTCAAGGATGACCAATGGAAACAGGATGCACATGAGCTCAATTTCGAGTCTCATAGCAAAGGGTCTGAATACTTATAAATAAGGTATGTTTTTTATTTTGTATAAATTTGCTAAAATTTCTAAAAACCTGCTTTCGCTTCGTCATTATGGGGTATTGTGTGTAGACTGATGGACTTTATTTAATCCATTTTAGAATAAGGCTGTAATGTAACAAAATGTGGGAAAGTCAAGGGGTCTGAACACTTTCAGAGTGTTCAAGTATTTTATTTTTTAAATGTGTAAAAACCAGTTTTCGCTTTGCTATTATGGGGTATTGTGTGCAGATTGATGAGTGGAAAAAATTATTTTATCCATTGTAGAATAAGGCTGTAACTTAAAATGTGAAAAATGTCAAGGGGTCTGAATACTTTCGAGTGTTTTGCCTACTGCGCACTGTTGACTGAGTTTTGGCTGCATGAGAGAATAATTACAATTCGTACAATCATCCTAAATTACAGTGGGGGAAAAAAGTATTTAGTCAGCCACCAATTGTGCAAGTTCTCCCACTTAAAAAGATGAGAGAGGCCTGTAATTTTCATCATAGGTACACGTCAACTATGACAGACAAAATAAGAAAAAGAAATCCAGAAAATCACATTGTAGGATTTTTCATAAATTTATTAGCAAATTATGGTGGAAAATAAGTATTTGGACACCTACAAACAAGCAAGATTTCTGGCTCTCACAGACCTGTAACTTATTCTTTAAGAGGCTCCTCTGTCCTCCATTCGTTACCTGTATTAATGGCACCTGTTTGAACTTGTTATCAGTATAAAAGACACCTGTCCACAACCTCAAACAGTCACACTCCAAACTCCACTATGGCCAAGACCAAAGAGCTGTCAAAGGACACCAGAAACAAAATTGTAGACCTGCACCAGGCTGTGAAGACTGAATCTGCAATAGGTAAGCAGCTTGGTTTGAAGAAATCAACTGTGGGAGCAATTATTAGGAAATGGAAGACATACAAGACCACTGATAATCTCCCTCGACCTGGGGCTCCACGCAAGATCTCACCCCGTGGGGTCAAAATGATCACAAGAACGGTAAGCAAAAATCCCAGAACCACACGGGGGGACCTAGTGAATGACCTGCAGAGAGCTGGGACCAAAGTAACAAAGCCTACCATCAGTAACACACTACGCCGCCAGGGACTCAAATCCTGCAGTGCCAGACGTGTCCCCCTGCTTAAGCCAGTACATGTCCAGGCCCGTCTGATGTTTGCTAGAGTGCATTTGGATGATCCAGAAGAGGATTGGGAGAATGTCATATGGTCAGATGAAATCAAAATAGAACTTTTTGGTAAAAACTCAACTCGTCGTGTTTGGAGGACAAAGAATGCTGAGTTGCATCCAAAGAACACCATACCTACTGTGAACCATGGGGGTGGAAACATCATGCTTTGGGGATGTTTTTCTGCAAATGGACCAGGACAACTGATCCGTGTAAAGGAAAGAATGAATGGGGCCATGTATCGTGAGATTTTGAGTGAAAACCTCCTTCCATCAGCAAGGGCATTGAAGATGAAACGTGGCTGGGTCTTTCAGCATGACAATGATCCCAAACACACCGCCCGGGCAACGAAGGAGTGGCTTCGTAAGAAGCATTTCAAGGTCCTGGAGTGGCCTAGCCAGTCTCCAGATCTCAACCCCATAGAAAATCTTTGGAGGGAGTTGAAAGTCCGTGTTGCCCAGCGACAGCCCCAAAACATTACTGCTCTAGAGGAGATCTGCATGGAGGAATGGGCCAAAATACCAGCAACAGTGTGTGAAAACCTTGTGAAGACTTACAGAAAACATTTGACATGTGTCATTGCCATAAAAGGGTATATAAGAAAGTACTGAGAGACTTTTGTTATTGACCAAATACTTATTTTCCACCATAATTTGCAAATAAATTCATAAAAAATCCTACAATGTGATTTTCTGGATTTTTTTTTCTCATTTTGTCTGTCATAGTTGACGTGTACCTATGATGAAAATTACAGGCCTCTCTCATCTTTTTAAGTGGGAGAACTTGCACAATTGGTGGCTGACTAAATACTTTTTCCCCCCACTGTATAAGAAATGAGGGTGTTTTCTTACAGTAGCCTTATACTATGCTCTTATATTCAGTTGTATTATGTAAAATACTATCAATGTGATTATGCAGACATTAATAAAGTTAGGTCAAAGCTGAATCAAACAAGCACCATTCATCACTGAAATGCGCTATAGTAACCTGTTCTGTGGGTAGCTGAATGAGTAGAGCAAAGACTGAATTAAGAAGAGAATCCCACACATACGCAGAAGCTTTGGTTATTTAGCTATTTGGATAGGCATTCAGAGAATACGGCAACAAAGCCAAAAAAAAGGAACGTCTATAAAGAAGGCCTAATTCCCAGTTATCAAATGTTGGCTAGTATACTTTGAAGCAAGGTCATGTGATTTATCTTATAAAGTAGCGTAGGCATTCAGGTTTCAGGGGAGCTATTTTGACATAATGGGATTGATTTATCAATTTCCATGCGTTCCATATAGCTAACTGCAGCTTTCCTGTGGTGCAAAAATGATTTCTTAACTATAACATTTTTGTGAATGACACCGTTTCACAGAGTTTCTAACATTAGTTTTGAAAAGGCACCCACAGACATTCACAGTAATTTTTGAGTGGCGCAGTAAAGTTGTTTAGGACATTTACTAATACATCGTTAACTAGCGAGCTAACTAGCTAGGCCTAATGTTCTGAAAGTACTGTCCCACTCCTTTCGGCAGCACATGTACTAACATGATACAAACGTTGGCCTACATCAAAGCGACTCACACAGAAACTCAATATTAGGAAGGTGTTGTTACTGTTTATTACACTCAGTGTATGCGAAACCGTACCCTGCAGTTCTTTGAAAGTTGGAAAGTAGCTTGACTGTGCTAATGAAATATGGCCAGGTGTGGGCAAATACACTGAGTGTACAAAACATTATGCTCTTTCCATGACATACTGACCAGGTGAATCCAGGTGAAAACTATGATCCCTTATTGATGTCACTTGCTAAATCCACGTCAATTAGTGAACATGAAGGGGAGGAGACAGGTTAAAGAAGGATGTTTAAGCCTTGAGACATGGAATGTGTATGTGTGCCATTCAGAGGGTGATTGGGCAAGACAAAATATTTAAGTGCCTTTGAACGGGCTATGGTAATAGGTACCAGGCGCAACGGTTTGTGTAAAAAACTGCAACGCTACTGGGTTTTCCTCGCCCAACAGTTTCCGTGTGTATCAGGAATGGTCCACAACCCAAAGGACATCCAGCCAACTTCACACAACTGTGGGAAGCATTGGAGTGAACATTGGCCAGGATCCCTGCGGAACGCTTTCAACACCTTGTAGAGTCCATGCCCCAACAAATTGAGGCTGTTCACAGGGCAGGGGCGGGGTGCAACTCAATATTAGGAAGGTGTTGTTAATGTTTTGTACACTCAGTGCATATGAAACCATACAGTGCAGTTCTGCTCTTTGAAAGTTGGAAAGTAGCTTGACTGTGCTAATGAAATACGGCCAGGTGTGGGCATATACATAATCATACTCATTCCAAAACGTACTGGCACATAAACAAGATCTGGCCCACTGCTTGGTCATGATCGAGGTTGCAAAAAATAAAGTGACATTTGGAGTTTGGTGGAAGTTAAGAACAGCATCTGAATTTTACTTTACGTTCTAGTTCTACACAACAGATCCCCAAAGATAACTTGGAATTTATTTTCTTTCAAATATTTACGGTAACATTTTGGGATTGTTGCTGTGCGTTAGTTCACAGGGTCTTTACAAGGGTAAAATGTTGGCCTTTGAATGCCTGATCGGCGTGGTTTTCACTTTTGGCACATCTCTGTTGCTTCTACTGCAACACGCAATATCAATTAAGCGCTTGAAAGATGAAATATTATTTGAAACCGGGGCGGTAGGTAGCCTAGCGGTTAAGAGCTTTGGGCCAATACCCGAAAGGTGGCTGGTTTGAATCCCCAAGCCGACTACGTGAAAAATCTGTCAATGTGCCTTTGAGCAAGGCACTTTTAACCCTAATTGCTCCTGTAAGCCGCTCTGGATAAGAGCGTCTGCTAAATGACTAAAATTTAAAAATGAACCCAATCTGCTATTACTGCACTACACAGATCAGAATCTTCTCAGCAATCTACTTCAACTTAAAGATCAGAAGATGATTATACCTGGTGTGGTTGTAGACGGTTGTGGGGCTGCGGTGGTGGTTGAACTCTCAGTGCTACCTGAAAATACATCATAAGCCAAATACACCTTTGTCATGCGTGAATAACACATTTTTCTGCACTACAAAAACAATTATCTTTATCATCTACTTTCAGGTCAAAGTTCAGGTGACAATAATACCTCCTGGTGTGGTTGAAGATGGTTGGGGGGCTGCTGCGGTGGTTGAACTCTCAGTACTCCCTGAAAATACATCATAAGTTAAATAAACATTAGTGATTTTTGTTAATTCATTTACAATAGGAATAACAGCTTTATAACTGGTGTTTTATCCCAGATAGTACAGCGAAGCAACAGTACAACTTTAGAAACCACTGTCACATGTACTTCCACTCAAACCTTTTACTGTAAAAAAAAAAAAAAGATGGACAGGAGACTTCTTACTTGTAATTACAAATCTCTGATGGGGTGTATTGGAAGCATAGATCACATATATTTCATCCATATCTTCTTTGGTTACATTGCGAAATTCAAAAATACGGCCGTTGGAGTAATTCTTCATTTGGATCCTGTCCCGATAACGTGGCTCCACAGTACACATGTCCTTCTCCTTGTCATACGTGAACACACTGCCTTTTCGCTGGGTGCGAAAACTGATCTCAGACTCAGGACACTGGTTAACAAGAATTTTTATGAATAAGGCAGTGTGTTCACGTAAGGAATGAATGAATAAGGACTCCCCATCGAATACCGGACATACCGAGTATGGCACTGTAAAAATGAGAGAAAAACACCACCATATTATTCACAGCAATATTTTTGCCACCACAGCAAAACATTTTGAACATTAAATAATGCTACTCCCGAGCATCACTTTCAAGATGCTAGAGCTGTCTACATACACTTTCCCTCAGTCTCGTTACAGAACACCAAAATCAAGTAAAGCAGTATTATTATGTGACTAATAAGGTGCGAGTCTGTCAGGATCCTTTGTAATAATTCATACAAATAAATAAAAAATGCTTAAACGTTGTTGGCATATACAAATGTTTTCTAAGCGACATAAAATTGGACAAAGACATTTTCTTCAATCATGTCAGTCATGTTGACTGATTAATATTTATGTTGGAGGAACTTCTGCCTTAAAGCAGCATTGTTAAGTTTGAGTTTGTTTTTATAGGGACAGTGTACATTATTCAACGTTTCGGTAAAAGTGCCGATTTTAGCCGGCCGGCTAATTTTCAACCGCAGTCCCTGGGCAGGTTATTAAAAACAATTACAATACAGACAAACAATGAGCATGCCATTGGGTTCTCATTCGAACCATTGACCACAACGCAGCCAATGTGTACAACACCTCGGACACTGTCTAACCGTTAATAATCATTGCGTGCAATACGGTTTTGAAACCTCAAACTGCACTTTCATATCACCCCATTTTAACAGATTCCCACTGAGGGGAATAATGAGCTAATAAAAGACATCAGTGGAAGAAATGTGCTAAAACAGCAAGTTAAAACAGTGAAGGGAGTTAAAGCACTGGCGAGAGTTAAAGCAGTGAAGGGAGTTAAAACAGTGAAGGGAGTTAAAACAGTGAAGGGAGTTAAAACAGTGAAGGGAGTTAAAACAGTGAAGGGAGTTAAAACAGTGAAGGGAGTTAAAACAGTGAAGGGAGTTAAAGCAGTGAAGGGAGTTAAAACAGTGAAGGGAGGGTCCCTCAACCAGGAGGTGGTCATGTTGTTTCTTTTAAATAAAAAAATCTAATAATATGATTTGTATTGCTAAATCCAACATCCTTATTTTTTTTTTTGAAACCTCAGAAACTGCACTTTCATATCACCCCATTTTAACAGATTCCCACTGAGGGGAATAATGAGCTAATAGAAGCCATCAGTGGAAGAAATGTGCTAAAACAGCAAGTTAAAACAGTGAAGGGAGTTAAAGCACTGGCGAGAGTTAAAGCAGTGAAGAGAGTTAAAGCAGTGAAGGGAGTTAAAGCAGTGAAGGGAGTTAAAACAGTGAAGGGAGTTAAAACAGTGAAGGGAGGGTCCCTCAAACAGGAGGTAGTCATATTGTTTCTTTTAAATTAAAAAAATCTAATAATATGATTTGTATTGCTAAATCCAACATCCTTATTTCTCATATCTGTGTAGTATTGATAGTGGCGCCAGGAGGACCTACCTGGAAGTAGCAGGGTAGTACCAAGGTGCTGCCCAGCAGAGGGCGCTGGGGCAGCTCCAGTGGGACACTCACACTCAGTGTGTCCTCAGGGTCTGGAGGGGAAGAGGGCAGAGAGATGGACACACACAGACACAGACACAGACACAGACACAGACACAGACACAGACAGACAGACAGACAGACAGACAGACAGACAGACAGACAGACAGACAGACAGACAGACAGACAGACAGACAGACAGACAGACAGACAGACAGACAGACAGACAGACAGACAGACAGACAGAGATTAACAAACATACACAGGTAAAGACACAGACACAGTCACACACACACAACGCCATGAAACCACACACAGATAAATATGTCATTTCATATGTAATGTATAACGGGGTGTAATAAGTCCCCTTACCCAGAAAGGAGTGCTCCTCATAGCTGCTGATTTGCTGATAGTTGTTGAATGTTGCTGAGGTGACGCACAGACACACACATAGTAATACAATCCACCTGGTCATAGTTTACCTGAAATCAAAAGAAGAAACACTGACTATGCACCTGAGGTAGTGTTCTGTTACATTGTAGATTAAGGTTAATGTTATACAAAGGCATTGATTGGCCTAAAATCATTCAAATTCATTAAAATACCTTAAAATCAAAGACAGACCAGTTCTGTCTAAGAATGACGACCATTAATGATCACTTCCATACAACCCCTCTGTATCTCTGACTTCTACTAGAACGCCTTTTCAATGTAACTAAAGGCCCTCAGGTTCTGGGTGCCTCAGGTTCTGGCCCCAGTCCAGTCCACTGACTGCATCTATAATATATCATCATAATACAATAGTAATACAGCGCATTCGGAACGTATTCAGACCCCTTCGCTTTTTCCACATTTTGTTACGTTACAGCCTTATTCTAAATGTGATTAAATTGTTTTTTTTCCTCATCAATCTCCACACAATACTCCATAATGCAAATTTATTTAAAAAAAAAAAACTACTGAAATATCACATTTACATAAGTATTCAGACACTTTACTCAGTACTTTGTTGAAGCACCTTTGGTAGCGATTACAGCTTTGAGTCTTCTTGGACATGACGCTACAAGTTTGACACATCTGTATTTGGGGAGTTTCTCCCATTCTTCTCTGCAGATCCTCTCAAGCTCTGTCAGGTTGGATGGGGAGTGTCGCTGCACAGCTATTTTAAGGTTTCTCCAGAGATGTTCAATCAGGTTAAAATGCGGGTTCTGGCTGAGCCACTCAAGGCCACTCCTGCGTTGTGTTGGCTGTGGGCTTAGGGTAGTTGTCCTGTTGGAAGGTGAACCTTCGCCCCAGTCTGAGGTCCTGAGCGCTCTGGAGCAGGTTTTCATCAAGGATCTCTCTGTACTTTGATCCGTTCATCTTTCCCTCGATCCTGACTAGTCTCCCAGTCCCTGCCACTGAAAAACATCCCCACAGCATGATGCTGCCACCACCATGCTTCACCGTAGGGATGGTGCCAGGTTTCCTCCAGACGTGACGCTTGGCATTCAGGCCAAAGAGTTCAATCTTGGTTTCATCAGACCAGAGAATTTTGTTTCTCTGGTCTGAGAGTCTTTAGGTGGCTGTCATGTGCCTTTTACTGAGGAGTGGCTTCCGTCTGGCCACTCTACCATAAAGGCCTGATTGGTGGAGTGCTGCAGAGATGGTTGTCCTTCTGGAAGGTTCTCCCATCTCCACAGAGGAACTCTGGAGCTCTGTCAGAGTGACCATCGGGTTCTAGGTCACCTCCCTGACCAAGGCCCTTCTCCCCCGATTGCTCAGTTTGGCCAGGCAGCCAGCCCTTGGAACAGTATTGGTGGTTCCAAACTTCTTCCATTTAAGAACGATGGAGGCCACTCGGTTCTTGGGGACCTTCAATGCTGCAGAAATTTTTTGGTACCCTTCCCCAGATTTGTGCCTCGACACAATCCTGTCTCGGAGCTCTACGGACAATTCCTTCGATCTCATTGCTTGCTTTTTGCTCTGACATGCACTGTCAACTGTGGGACCTTATATAGACAGGTGTGTGCCTTTCCAAATCATGTCCAATCAATTGAATTTACCACAGGTGGACTCCAATCAAGTTGTAAAAACGTCAAGGATGATCAATGGAAACAGGATGCACCTGAGCTTAATTATGAGGCTCATAGCAAAGGGTCTTATTTACATAAGTATTACGTTTTTTTTTCATACATTTGAAAACATTTCTAAAAACGTGTTTTCACTTTGTCATTATGGGGTATTGATGAGGAAAAAAACTACTTTAATCAATTTCAGAAAAAGGCTGTAACATAACAAAATGTGGAAATAGTCAAGGGGTCTGAACACTTTCCAAATGCACTGTATAACAAAAAGACCCTGGATCCAAATCAGATAAGACATTATTCAAAAGGTTAGTTTATTAAACATTTATTAAAGTGTCACTCCACAACTGGTTGACAATACAAAATATATTTGTTTTTTAAACACATTGTGGACCACTCACTGTTGAGACACTAAAAGCAGTCAGTCAAACATTGCACAGTATGTCCTTTGGAGTCCTCTATAATACATGTTATCATAAATAACATCTATACACATGTACAGTGGTTCAGAGGACATTCAGGAACCTCTAAAGGTCTGATGGAGGATGAGACAGCATGCTTTGAAAAGGCATTCATATCATTGTCACCTGATCAAATGTAGCATTTCATTATGGCTGGAAAGTTGGCAAAAAATATCCCTAATTCTTCAATGGAACCATCATTACAAAAAGAACAGTCACGTTTATCTGAAGGGAATGTTTGTGTCGACCAGCCTCAATAGCGAGAGGGGCCACTTCACATCTACATTTAGCAAAAATATTAATTAGATAACAGTACGTACGTAAGGTTCTGTCACAAAAGTGCACGTAAAAAGGCAGTATGTGTGCAATTTGTTACTTTCAAATGACCTTCAGTAAAAAAACAAAAAACAAAAAAATATTGATAACATCTATGTTGACATTAAATAAAATATTTGATCATAAATACATATTTTAACTAGTCTTGCCAATACCATTATCATAAGTGGTGTAATCGTACAATATAAATACATGGTTTTCGTATCAGGCGTGATACAGTATAATAACGGTACAGTAAATTGTGCACATCAGTATAAACGTCTCCCCGAACAGGGAACACAGAATGTAATGCTGACAATGATCAACAGTTATAAAGGTTGAAGAAAATCATAAGTACAGTAGTTGTACAGTAAGGCTGAGGGTTTAAAGGGATAGTTTAGGATTTTACACAACTTATTGTCAGGTTCTTCACTCTGCCAGTAGTCTTTGGGCCAGGAGAAACAGTAATCCATGGTTCAGTTCTTTAAACAGCCACTACAAACTTCAAATAACTTAAGTCACCACTAGCTAACACTCAATAGAAGTGAATGAGGCATTGCAAATAAAACGCACTTTCAAAAAGATTCCACCGGAGCAGACCAGCAAAAAACATGCCCGAGTTTACTTTGATTGATTAGAAATACTCATCGCAAGCCTGCAGACAGGGCAAAATCATAGTCTAGCCAGCCTCAGTAACAAAGACATCATTTTCATCATTCTGCTGTTTTGCTTTGTCCATTGATGCATTTTGATTTAGAACTTGGAGCTCGGCCAAGGGAGGTTCTTCGTTCAACTTTTTGCTTTTACGATTCCTGACCCATACTACTGCTGCTGCTGCTGCTACTACTACTACTACTACTACTACTACTACGAATACGCCTAGCCATACTAGTACCAGCCAAGCCAGATGTTCCTCAGGTAGACCTGCAGAGACAGAAAAAAATTACTTATAGTACTAGATTATTTCCAGGTTCTAGCATTAACATATAAATCAACACAAATTGCCATACAATTAAACCCATGTTATGTAATGATTTCTCATGACACAAAATGACTTGATAGCACTACTGCAGGGAAGTCATTGTTGTCACGATACTAACATTGACTTTGATATAATACTTAGTGGTATTAGATATGCAATATGGTGAAAAAATGCCTCAAAGTCAATGTACTGTACTGTATAAAACATGTGGCTAACATATTGACATCATGGTATTAATTTATCAATTTCTATGTGTTCTATTGCTAACGTTCTCTGAATCATTGTAGGAAAGAATGCAATCTCAGCAGGTTTCATGTGGTCCAAAACTTGAGCGAATGACAACAAACTTGACCAATTGTTGACACCAAAATTGACCGAATTACATTTTTACAAATGGAATGCACCCGCAGCACTGGAAAGTTGTTTAGGACATGATCTATAGTTGCCATGGTGTCCTAGTAGCTGCCTAAGAACAGAGCTCTTGTAAATTTGTACATAGTTGTTTTAAATTATTATTTAAATTAGCCCTTTTGTTTTTGATAACATTGTGTTTTCATTGCATATATCTGGGGGTTTTTGAGCCACGGATTTGCTGATTGACTGACAGGTTAAATTTTTTTGGCTAGCTAGCTGGCTAGCGTTTTTGTTTGTGTCGTATCGGGTGAATGGTGGCAATTATTGCTGATAAACAAAGGAGTCCGCTCATACTGAACTTTGATCATAAGGTTTATTCAGATCACAAGCTTTCAGCATAAGTGACAGATGTCATGACATCCAGAGAGCGACGCCTCAGAATGGCCGCTCTGCCCTTTCATCGTTTAACCCCTACTTATAAACAATGCAAAAAGATGGGCTCCCTCTTCTGGCCAATCACCAGTCTCCCCTGTCTACAACACTCTTCCTGTCTGTTGTATGTGGCGCTACACTAAAACATTCCCTCTTGATACTAAAATGAACATTCTTTCAGTTCCACTTAAAAACATTTAACAAAGACATAATCCTAATACACGACATTTGAAAAATGCATCTGGACATTTTGTTTCAGCTGGCTACCAATTCCTGCCCTTTTGAGAACATAATTTGAGGAGTCGCCTTAAGCGTGAGAGGAATGGGAGATAGTGGGGCGGCGCACAATTGGCCCAGCGTCGTCCAGGGTAGGGGAGGGAATGGCCGGCAGGGATGTAGCTCAGTTGGTAGAGTATGGCGTTTGCAACGCCAGGGTTGTGGGTTCGATTCCCACAGGGGGCCAGTATGAAAAAATAGAAAAATAATGTATGCACTCACTGTAAGTCTGTAAGTCGCTCTGGATAAGAGCATCTGCTAAATGACTAAAATGTAAATGTAATAGTGGAATCCAGCAGTGCTGAGCAGTGTTGCCAACTCCTCAGTAAGGAAAGTAGTTATGGCTGTCCTAAAAGTCGCTAAATGACGTCATCACCTAATTTGCATAATTGGCCATGCGCATGTAATTGTAATGGACGCTGTAGGAGAGGAATAACGCCGTGGGAGAGACAAAAAGTGAGTAAAAAACACCCTACATTTACAGGGCGGGATCAGCCAGCGGCGCCTTCCCGCATGCGCGATTCATTTGCAGTCTGGACGCGGAGGGGTGAACATCTCCTGCTCTGACTGCTGCGCGAGGACTGGGCCGCCTGTGAGTGCTTTGGGACGGGGACCACGCACGGCAGCACCCGCTGCTCGTTGAGAAGAGTAAGAACGATACGTGCTTTCACGTCAGAGTCTCCAAAAGTCTCCAATAACACCAGAAAAAGTCGCTAGATTTGTCGCTAGTTGCTTTTATGAAAATGTGTCGCTAGAGGGGTCTGAAAACTCGCTAAATATAGCGACAAAGTCGCTAAGTTGGCAACACTGGTGGTGAGCTTTCTGGCGCTCAGAGCTGCTGAGGCATCACCAAAGTGGGTGCTACACAGAGTGGAAGAGGAGAAGTCCAGTGCCTATACAACTCAGGCTGGGTCCCAGACTTGCCCTCTACAACATCATCAGCAGACAGCAGACTCCATCATCGTCATCTTCCATCCTGTCTAGCTCCCTTCGCTCAAGCCATCAACTGACCCTCTCCATCTTCGGAGGATGCAGCTTTCATAAAGTGACATTTGGAGTTTGGTGAAACTTAAGAACAGCATCTGAATTTTGCTTTACGTTCTAGTTCTACACAACAAAAATAACTTGGAATGTATTTTCTTTCAAATACTTACGGTAACATTTTGGGAGCTCGCGTTATTTATATTGTTGCTGTGCGTTAGTTCACAGCACAGCGGTCTTTACGAGACTAAAATGTTGGCCTTTGAATGCCGATCGGCGTGGTTTTCACTTTTGACATATCTCTGTTGCTTCTACTGCAACACGCAATATCAATTAAGCGCTTGAAAGATGAAATATTATTTGAAACCGGGGCGGCAGGTAGCCTAGCGGTTAAGAGCTTTGGGCCAATACCCGAAAGGTGGCTGGTTTGAATCCCCGAGCCAACTAGGTGAAGAATCTGTCAATGTGCCTTTGAGCAAGGCACTTAACCCTAATTGCTCCTGTAAGCCGCTCTGGATAAGAGCATCTGCTAAATGACTAAAATGTCAAATGAACCCAATCTGCTATTACTGCACTACACAGATTAGAATCTTCTCAGCAATCTACTTCAATTTAAAGATCAGAAGATGATTATACCTAGTTTGGTTGAAGACTGTTGGGAGGCTGCGGTGGTGGTTGAACTCTCAGTGCTACCTGAAAATACATCATAAGCCAAATACACCTTTGTCTTGCGTGAATATCACATTTTTCTGCACTACAATAACTATTATCTTTATCATCTACTTTCTGGTCAAAGATCAGGTGACAATAATACCTCCTGGTGTGGTTGTAGATGGTTGGGGGGCTGCTGCGGTGGTTGAACTCTCAGTACTCCCTGAAAATACATCATAAGTTAAATAAACATGAGTGATTTTTGTTAATTCATTTACAATAGGAATAACAGCTTTATAACTGGTGTTTTATTCCAGATAGTACAGCGAAGCAACAGTACAACTTTAGAAACCACTGTCACATGTACTTCCAATCAAACCTTTTAATGTAAAAAAAAAAAAAGATGGACAGGAGACTTCTTACTTGTAATTACAAATCTCTGATGGGGTGTATTGGAAGCATAGATCACATATCTTTCATCCATATCTTCTTTGGTTACATTGCGAAATTCAAAAACACGGCCGTTGGAGTCATTCTTCATTTGGATCCTGTCCCCATAACGTGGCCCCACAGTACACATGTCCTTCTCCTTGTCATACGTGAACACACTGCCTTTTCGCTGGGTGCGAAAACTGATCTCAGACTCAGGACACTGGTTAACAAGAATTTTTATGAATAAGGACTCCCCATCGAATACCGGACATACCGAGTATGGCACTGTAAAAATGAGAGAAAAACACCACCATATTATTCACAGCAATATTTTTGCCACCACAGCAAAACATTTTGAACATTAAATAATGCTACTCCCGAGCATCACTTTCAAGATGCTAGAGCTGTCTACATACACTTTCCCTCAGTCTCGTTACAGAACACCAAAATCAAGTAAAGCAGTATTATTATGTGACTAATAAGGCGCGAGTCTGTCAGGATCCTTTGTAATAATTCATACAAATAAATTAAAAATGCTTAAACGTTGTTGGCATATACAAATGTTTTCTAAGCGACATAAAATTGGACAAAGACATTTTCTTCAATCATGTCAGTCATGTTGACTGATTAATATTTATGTTGGAGGAAATTCTGCCTTAAAGCAGCATTGTTAAGTTTGAGTTTATTTTTATAGGGACAGTGTACATTATTCAACGTTTCAGTAAAAGTGCCGATTTTAGCCGGCCGGCTAATTTTCAACCGCAGTCCCTGGGCAGGTTATTAAAAACAATTACAATACAGACAAACAATGAGCATGCCATTGGGTTCTCATTCGAACCATTGACCACAGCGCAGCCAATGTGTACAACACCTCGGACACTGTCTAACCGTTAATAATCATTGCGTGCAATACGGTTTTGAAACCTCAGAAACTGCACTTTCATATCACCCCATTTTAACAGATTCCCACTGAGGGGAATAATGAGCTAATAGAAGCCATCAGTGGAAGAAATGTGCTAAAACAGCAAGTTTATCTTCTGAATCTGTAAAGTTATTTTGGATAATCATTAAGTTAAGTGTTTAAAGTTTCCAAAACCGTATTGCAATCAAGATCAATTGTTTTTAGATAGTGTTTCACGCTTTTATCAATTCCCCTCAACTAATCAAAATGGCGTTTCAGAAGGGCAAACTTTTGACCCGGTCAAATAAATCACAGAAAATGCAAAAAACATGCTTTGATGTCTTTAACTCACAATACAATATTATAAAAAATACAATATTTTCTAACCCTAAAGTGTCCGACACAAGGATAAATCTGCAGGATCTGCAATTTATGAGTTAACGCTAGTGCTGAGCAATTAATGCTTTTCTAGATCAGGTCGGTTTCAGTTCACTTATAGAAAAATTATCCCATTTTCATAATACATTATGAAATAATGACATTCAAATAAATGTTTTGCTTTTTAAAATTGGAAATTCCAAAGCCCAAAATAGTTAACATTCAATTGCCAAAACATTTAAATATTTCAATTTCTGTCAGGTCCACATTGGGTAGTCAATAGAAAATTACTCTGAAATCAAATATTTCAGTTGTCTATATTACTTAGTTTTTATTTGATGACTATTATTTTTTCATTCCTTAAAGTCATAATAGCTGCTCATGCAGACGCAGCCAAACATTATCTCTGTACTTCCCATACTGTTCTGTCTTTAGTCATCCTATTTATACTGAACAAAAACATCAACACAACATGTAAAGTGTTGGTCCCATGTTTCTTGAGCTGAAATAAAAGATCCCAGCAATATTCTATACTCACAAAAATCTCTCAAATTGTGCACACATTTGTTTACATGCCTGTTCGTGAGCATTATTCCTTTGCCAAGATAATCCATACACCTGACACGTGTGGAATATCAAGAAGCTGATTAAACAGCATGATCATTACACAGGTGCACCTTGTGCTGGGGACAATAAAAGGCCACAATGTGCAGTTCTCACAACACAATGCCACAGATGTCTCATGTTTTGAGGGAGCGTGCAATTGGCATGCTGACTGCAGGCATGTCCACCAGAGCTGTTGCCAGAGAATATAATATTAATTTCGCTACAATAAGGCGCCTCCAAGAATATTTGTTTAATGAAAACTACAACTCCCTTCAGCCCAGCGTCCCACATAGATCTTGAGTTGATTTCTGTTGTGAATGATTCGATTTATCTCCAGAGAAACAGCGCATTGGGCTCACAAAAAAACCCTGACTGAATGGAATTCAAGTAATCTGAACCGACATCGGTCAATTAGTTGATTAATAACACCCCACCCGCCCCTCAGCACTAGTCAAGGAGCACTACAACTTGGACTGAAGATAATTTGAGTTGAGGCATGATATTTTAGGCAAGGTAACAGGGGTCTACTGTTTTGCACTCAGTCATTTCTTGACTCTTTTTTGGTGTAGTAGTACATTTTCATGTATGTTACGAAAACGCTCAATTCCAGTGGTATAATTAATTAAAACCAACCTGAGTTCGGCTGTCTGGAAGGCAGGCAGCTGGAAGGCAGGCAGCTGGAAGGCAGGCAGGTGGAAGGCAGGCAGCTGGAAGGCAGGCAGGACAGGAACCAGATTGTAACTAGGACTACACTCAGACGCCTAAGGAGAAATTGACCATTTGTATGACCATTTGCAATTTTGAAGAAAGCAATTATCAACACACTTTCATAGTAACGTTATAACCAAGTGACTGTTAGGAGATTACCATTATGATATCCTTAGCTAAGAATTTAACTCCAATGACGTTGACATCAATCTTAGCATGTGTTCATTATGTGTTCCATTGTGGTTAGAATCAATGTTTTCTACTTCTCAATTAGCTATACATGTACATTTAAATGTGGTCGTTTTTACGGTTTATAGATTTTCAAGCAATGTATTCAGTAACCCATTTGCTCCTGGGCTTCGTATTTCGCTTCGACAATCACTTGGCCAGGGAAAGCTAGCTAACTGTTAGTTAACTTCTAGCCTAACTTCCAGCCTTATGTAACACAGATACGTTGGTCTTCAGCTAGCATATGTACAGTCCATAGCACCCGCCTTCAAGTCATGTCCACCTCCTCCAAAACTTCTGCAGCTTCCTCCAGAGGTATTGATGTAAAAATTTTGAAAAGGGTTTTCATGAAACATGCTCTGTCTAACATTACTTTTTCTCAAACTGCAGCACAGAAAAGAAAGAGAAAAGCTCCACCGGTCACCTCTGTCACGCCACCCATGGCACCACGCTCAGGTACTTCATAATGTCACGCCCTGGCTCTGGGGACACTTGTATGTTGAGCCAGGGTGTGCGTTTCATTTGTTTATCTAGTAGTTGCATTTCTATGTTGGCCAGATTGGTTCCCAATCAGAGGCAACGAGTGTCAGCTGTTGCTGGTTGTCTCTGATTGGGAACCATATTTATACAGGCTGTTTTCCCACAGTTGTTGTGGGATCTTGTTTCTAGTTGGTTTGTGTTAGACCGTGAACTGTCACGTTATCGTTTTGTTTATTTTGTCATAATATCGCTAAATAAAGAGTATGTTTGCCTGCAACGCTGCGCCTTGGTCCTCCTCTGTTCCCGACGAGCGTGACAGAAGATCCCACCAAGACTGGACCAAGCAGCAAGTCCAGGAGCCATCGCCTGGGAGATCTCTAGCGGATCTCCTTCGCCTCCTCGACTGGGTCAAGCCATGTGAGGAAGAGAGGGGCTTGACGTGGAAGCAGAAGGGCGAGAGGCTGGCAAAAAGTATGGAGACCTGGTCCACGGGTAGGAGTGAAGCCCATAACATTTTTAGGGGGGGGCTAACGCCGTGGACGACGGGGCAGCAGGAGACCGCGACAGAGCAGCCCAGCGGGTGTGCAGAGGAGGCCGCCAGGTTAAGGGGGCCACTGGTCACAGAGGAGAGGGAAAGTGTGGAGGCACGGCGAGAGGTACTGGGGTGTGTTACCAGTCCAGTCCGGCCCGTTCCTGATCCCTGCATAGGGCCAGTGGTGTGTGTCCCCAGTACGGTCCGGCCTGTTCCTGTTCCTCGCATCGAGCCTGTGGTGCGCGTCGCCAGCCCGGCCCGGCCTGTTCCTGCTCCCCGCACCGAGCCTATGGTGCGCGTCGCCAGCCCGGCCCGGCCTGTTCCTGCTCCCCGCACCGAGCCTATGGTGCGCGTCGCCAGCCCGGCCCGGCCTGTTCCTGCTCCCCGCACCGAGCCTATGGTGCGCGTCGCCAGCCCGGTCCGGCCCGCTCCTGTTCCCCACACCAAGCCAGTGGTGTGCGTCGCCAGCCCGGTCCGGCCCGCTCCTGCTCCCCACACCAAGCCAGTGGTGTGCGTCGTCAGTCCGGCACGGCCCGTGCCTGTTCCCCACACCAAGCCAGTGGTGTGCATCGCCAGCCCGGTCCGGTCCGCTCCTGCTCCCCACACCAAGCCAGTGGTGTGCGTCGTCAGTCCGGCACGGCCCGTGCCTGTTCCCCACACCAAGCCAGTGGTGTGCGTCGCCAGTCCGGTCCGGCCTGTTCCTGCTCCCCGCACCGAGCCTATGGTGCGCGTCGCCAGCCCGGCCCGGCCTGTTCCTGCTCCCCGCACCGAGCCAGTGGTGTGCGTCGTCAGTCCGGCACGGCCCGTGCCTGTTCCACCAGTGTGCAGCTGGTTCACGCCGGAGCTAGAGCAATCCGCGCCACCAGTGTGCAGTCCAGCTCCGGTCAGCGGGGCCAGACCGGACCAGGGGTACTTTGGGGGGTTGGAGAGGGAGTGGGGATCAGGCCCGGAGCCGGATCCCGCGCCAAGGCGGAGTGCCCACCCGGTCCCTCCCCTGTGGTATTTAGTTGACGCGGTCAGAGTCCGCGCCTTTAGGGGGGGGTACTGTCACGCCCTGGCTCTGGGGACACTTGTATGTTGAGCCAGGGTGTGCGTTTCATTTGTTTATCTAGTAGTTGCATTTCTATGTTGGCCAGATTGGTTCCCAATCAGAGGCAACGAGTGTCAGCTGTTGCTGGTTGTCTCTGATTGGGAACCATATTTATACAGGCTGTTTTCCCACAGTTGTTGTGGGATCTTGTTTCTAGTTGGTTTGTGTTAGACCGTGAACTGTCACGTTATCGTTTTGTTTATTTTGTCATAATATCGCTAAATAAAGAGTATGTTTGCCTGCAACGCTGCGCCTTGGTCCTCCTCTGTTCCCGACGAGCGTGACACATCATCTGTTTTTCTCTCTGTTGTATCAATTACTATGGTTGTTGAAGAACTTCTCCGTCAGGAGTGTAGGTCCGAGGTGCCATGGGTGTGCTGTGACTTCTGCCAGCACTGGTTCCACTGCAGGTGTGTGCAGTGGGATCCAGAGGTGGCGGTGGAGCTGGATTTTTAGTGTGATTTTTGTGACAATATAGGGATGGAGGTTGAGATTTAATTGTTGTTTTGTTTGTGTTCATATTAAAATTATTTCTTTGTACAAAAAAAAAGTCTAAAATATAATATTTATATATTTATTCAACCCATCCTGTGTATTTCTTCCTTTACTTTCCAAGTGCATCTCAGCAACACAAACTCCAACAGTGTTTTCATTGTTTATGTCAATGCACATTACTGAAATTAAAGTTTTATTTGATGTAAATTACTGATACTCATTTATATTTTAGTATTAAACTTATCTACTTTCTCAAAACATAAAATTAATCTGTAAAACAAATTATGAGACACTGAATATGTTGGTGAAGAACCCTCCACAGGAGAGCGCACCGGGCTACATAATGAAAAGTTGACAGGCAAGTCTTTTTTTACCGGAAGGCTAGCCAACTATCTAGTAAACACTTCAGATATGAGGTTGGTGTCTATTTTTTAACATAATTAAATGGATATATCTTGTAATTGAACAAAATAGTAAGGTGGCCAATAACGGGACCGTATGCCGATAATACGGGAATTTAACTCCAATATTGTTGACATAAATCTTAGCATGTGTTGATTCATGTGTTCAATTGTGGTTAGTATCAATATTTACTACTTCTCAATTAGCTATACATGCAAATTAAAAATGTGGCCGTTTTTAGGGCTTATAGATTTTCAATCAATGTACGCAGTAACGTGAATTGATGAATGTCTCAGGAATAAGTATAAGGCAATCACACCGGTTTGAAACATACCTACTAGCTAACTAACTAATTTGCTCCCGGGCTTCGTATTTCTCTTCGACAATCGATAGGACAGGGAAAGCTAGCTAACTGTTAGTTAACTTCTAGCCTAACGTTACACAGATACTTTTGTCTTCAGCTAGCTATAGCTTTTATACTAGACACCGGTCATTTAACAAAATACACGAAATGCGCGACGTAAGCTTGCTAAGTTTAGCTAGCGTAGCTAACGATACAGGCCGAGAAGTCAAGGTAGCTAACGTCAGTTAGCATTTACTTGTTTTCTAAGCTAGCGTGCCTGAATTAGCCAGTAAGTCACAGTAAAAAAAATGTACAAGTTAATAACATTACACATCGACTAACTATGAAAAGACTCACCAGCGGAATACCATCTTGATTAACTAGCAAGCTACAGTACACTGGGTTGTTATGAGACCAAGGCTTGAAATAGTTTTAGCTAGGTAACGTATTGTTCAGGTGTTAGTTGCTCGCTTGCTTGGAATGAACGAGGACAGCTCTCGGTCAACATTAACATGTCACTTCCTTGTTTTTCATTTTCGCGCTACCGTGCTTAATTATGTCATTTTGTTTTGAGCCAACCATGCCGTCGACCAGAGCCTCCCCGGGAGGCAGCCCAGTTCCAAAACGATTAGTTACCGAAGTGTAACTCCAGTTCTATGAGTGGAGCTCCGCCCCATAGGGGAGCTCTGCTCCTATTGGTTTACCCACTGCCCTAAGGCAGCATCAGCCTGAGACAAAATTATGCACACACCTGCAGCCAATAGGAGTACAAGTGTCCCTATAAGAGGGGATGCCTCCCCTCAATCAGCCTCCCGAGATATTTATCTTCAGCGAGACTAGAGAGGGTCGGCAGGGCCTTAAGTCCTATGGGGCTCCGCTCCACTCATAGAACTGGAATTACACTCTGGTAACTAATCGTTCTATATCGTGGAGCTCCGCCCCATAGGGGAGCTCTGCTCCTATTGGTTTAAGGCGGAGCGTAGCGCTCCAAAATGTACTCCCTGCCGAGCCCAACACTTCCCATCAAAACGAAAAGGTCAGGCCTAGCAATGGCTGCAACCAATTCCCGCAGTACTGCAACCACTGTATGACCATACAAGTGTCACAATATACTGCGTCATCGGTTAAAAACCTGCACCACCTAGTCCAATGGCAACACCAATGACTAGTGGGCAGATCACCAGAATACGGGCCATACTAATCTGTACTAGCAGATAGATGGTACCTCAATATCCTGTCACAATAATACCGACCACTAATGGAATGACACAAATTGTCACTCTACATTGTGTACACGGTAGGCCGCCTCACTCAATCAATGGAACCCCAGAGATTAGTGGACAGATCCCAGAACATGATTCATACTAATCTGAACAAGCAGATAGATGACGTCACATTCCGTCAAAATTGTCATGACCGGTCTAATAGTACCATAACCAAGTTACTACTATTATCCCCCATCATTCCGCCTCAACCCAGTTATTCACTGGTGGGCAGATCAATACATGCCCTCTACTGTACTGAACATTCAGTCAGGAGTCATGCCGAAATAT